TGTGTGGAATTAAATAGGTAGATGTACAATATTAAATTCGAGTCAAAAACATTGATTGCTTAATTTATTTATTTATTAAAACAAGGAATTAAATGAACAAAATATTTGAACGTTTTCATTATTTTACTTTTTAATAAACTACGAACGATGATCATATTATATTGAGTCACTCGTAAAATTAAGTTAAAAACTCACAACGGCCGAATTCAGTTAACTTCATATTATATCAATCTTACTCCAATATTTATCCAAGCGTACGAACGAATATAAAAAATCCACAGCACGTGAATTAATCATGTACTGTTTATACCAAATTAATAACTACACAGATATCAATTAAGCAATCGATAATTGAAGTGGAGCCTGAACACATAGATCAATTAGAGAATTGTAGATAAATCGCGATCCGTTCAGCCGTGGCGTGTCCTACATCAAGCATGAATGGGCGCGTATGAATTGTATGAGCGCCTAATTGCTAAATACAGAGCTGCTTATTCTGGTAAAGCTGAGGCTTGATAAGAGCGGAAATCGGTTTTGAAAAAAATGTTTTAGTGCTTGGATATGAAAGGAAATGTTCCATTTTAGCAACATTAATTGCACAAAAATTTACCAATCTTGGTAGCGATTTCAAATACATATGTAAATGGTCCTAAATGTAACCTACCGGTTGAAGTGATGCTGTTGCTATGCTACACTCCTATTCTGTCTATTAACCAAGCGCATTGCATATGCACTGTGAGTCACTGCGGCGGCCTCAGCCAGTAGTCAAAGTATTGCCTTGATCTATTAACCCACTGACTGCAGCATCGCTACTGTTGTTGCATTTTGTACGCGCTAGCTTTTAAGCGATTTTAGAAAAATGCTTACGGCTCACGTGATACGGATTAGAGATGAAACGGATAGTTGTTTGGCCGGATACCGAATACCGGATATCCGGCCAGCTGCGAGGCCGGATAGCCGGATATCCGGCGGCCGGATAGTTGGCCCATTGTCTCGTTGCATGTCGTGACGAGTTTAGCGCCGCACAGATGCTTCAAACGCGATCAGTGGGTCTATTAGTAGACTAGACTAGTCACACTTTTTAAAAATCGAATTAGTTCGAATAGAATGTCAGATTTTGCCACTTGTCTAGGGGGCAGATCGATTCGGGCGATTTCGGTTGCTATCGTGAGTGTGTGATTGAAAAGTGAAAATTAAATTAGTTTACTTGCTGCATAATCTGACTGAACTGCATCATGACATCAGACCATTAGTGAAAATAAGATCGCCTATTTTATTTGGCAATATTTCGACTTAACAGATATTTACTATTTATGTATTCGTCATTAGAGTGATAGCCCAGAAAAAGAAATTAGTTTTTTTAAAGGCCTTAATATGGCTTTTTGTTACTTTTTGGACTTTAAATAAAAGCCGTCATTATTATAAGTCATTTTATTGATGTTTACCTCAAAGATTAATGTATTTCATTTTATTAATAGGATATTGTCGTAGTTTTTTAATATCCGGTATCCGGCCGGATAGTGAGTTACTATCCGGTATCCGGCCGGATAGTAAATTTAGGCCGGATAGTTACCGGATATCCGTTTCATCTCTAATACGGATCATACTGTCCGTGGTGTGACTCTTTTCTTAAAGGTCATTCATGTTTTTGTTTGTCAACTGTCATCCGCTTTGCATTTGAAGTCGACCCTTAATTTCGAACTCCTCTTATGTCCTTCTGATTAATTTTGTTGCGGTTTCGTTGCTATGACAATTTAATTACCTATCCCCGGGACATTGGATTTTGTTTGTGTTATATTGACGGGCAAGCTGTAGATCCTGGGAACACAAGAGTTAGTAATAGTTCTGCTGGCAGTCGGGTACTGGCTGTACGTACATGCACTATAGTCATTGCCGCGGCCAGCAGTAAATTTTTTATTTTATTTTAGTAATGCCTTGATCTCGTAACCCACTGACTTCAGCAATGCTACATACTATTGCTTCGTCACACCAGAGTAAATACAAATGAGTAGGTCATCTTCATAGAAACGCCCGAGCGCGGTTTGTAGGTATGTGAGCGCGCCAATACGTATGCGGCGCGCACGCACACACTGACAAAATTCAGCGCACCTCACCGCTAATCAACGCTAACGCTGTGTCTCACATATAAACCGCGCTCGGTGCGTTTCTATGAAGATGACCTACTCGTTTGTATTTACTCTGGTCACACGCGTCTCCCCGCTAGCAGTCAGGCCGCGGCCGTACATGCGCCGGAGTCATTGACGCGGTCGCGCGGCCTCGGCCGAGTGAAAGTGGCGCCTTGATCCCGTGACCCACTACTCGGGCCATCTCGCCAACAATCCGTTACGTCATAAGAGGCCTAGTCAGCTTATTAGGTAAATTATGCCTTATTTTAAAAGCTTAGTTAAATTTTAGTATTTGCTATTTACATTATACTAGCGGCCGCCCGCGACTTCGTACGCGTGGATCCCGTTTTATACCCTTAGGGGTTGAATTTTGCAAAATTCCGTCTTTGTGAGCACCCACGTTCTAAAAGGAACCCCCATGCAATATTCGAGACTCCTAGCACTTGTAGTTTCTGAGATTTCGTGATAAGTGAGTGAGTCACAGTTAGTTTCGCTTTTAAGATATAGATTAAAATATAACGATTACTGTGATCATATGACTAAAACCTTCTGCTCGTTTGCCTTCTGACCCATAAAAAACGCTAGTTGTTGTTGCAAGTCTATAAATCTGCTGAAGGAAAATTTTTGCTTACATTGATGAGTATATTTATTTACGTAAAACTATTTGCATGCGAGATAGGTACGTAAACTCCTTGAAATCTTGTCATTTTAATAGTAAAAAATTTCCATAGATACATGTAATATTTGTGAGGACAATTTTTATACTCTGTAATTTTTGGTCGTAAATTCAGCTGCAAGATTTGTCCCACACATACTAACAAGTGAAGTAAATATAAATCTTGTAATCTATACTAATATTATAAATGCGAAAGTAACTCTGTCTGTCTTGTCTGTCTGTCTTGCTTTCACGCCTAAACCACAGAACCGATTTTGATGTAATTTGGCATCGATAGATAGTTTGAGTCCCGGGAAAGGATAGTTTTTATTCCGGTTTTTAAAATAGGGACGCGCGCAATATAGTTTTTCTGTGACAGACAAAATTCCATGCGGGCGAAGCCGCGGACGGAAAGCCAGTATCAAAATAAACACTCGACATTGGCAGAAATAAACCTCCCATAAAGGAGGTTCGGTGGCCATTTCAACAAAAACAATGACAAACAAGCTGCATGGATAGGATGTTACAGTTGTAAACGGACTAGTTAGGGCCGCGGATGAGTCACATCCGTTGTCCTACTGGGGTGACGACACAGAGAGAGTACGAGGTACGAGGCTTGCCGATTTCACCGGTTACATCAGTTAGAAGTGCTGGGTATAGGTTAGTTTATTTTAGAATTACTGTAAGCCGTGTGGTTACGGCAGAGGTGGAATAGGACCAGAACTGATTTTCCCGTGGATGTCGTAAGAGGTGACTTACCGACTGGTTGATGAGTGTAGCCCATATCCAGATCTAAATACCCTGATCATGATGATGAATTGCCGTATGTCGAGAGACTCGTAGGACAAAATGACACCAGTTTTTTTTAGTTAATCAATAATCACCCCACTCTACCCGTGGATGCCTTAAATCAAAATCAAAATTATCTTTATTTGTTTAGACTAATCAATTAGTTCTTGCAAATCGTCAAATGCTCTTAAGAAGCCTATACATGTCTCATTCTTTTTTTGCCCTACCAGCGCTTCGAGACAAACATTTGGCAAGTGCTGAGAAGAAGCGCCGCAACAAACTCAGTCACCACTGTCTGCCGGTTTAAAATTATAAAAAAATATGAAAAAGTAGGAAGTTACATACATTCAGAAGCAAGTTACTTACCACTTAAGAGGTGACTTACCAGCTAGTTGGGGAGTGTAGGCAATCATATCCTGACCTAAATGATTTGATGATGATGATGAAGAATTACCGTATGTCGAGAGACTCGTAGGACAAAATTACCAATTCTCGCTTGAGTTTCCTCGTTTGACTATATTGATTGACCCCGGCCAAATTGTACGACCCCAATCCCAAATAACGCAATCCCCGTTTACCTAGCTATTTCAGGTTTTGACACACTTAGGTATTTCAGTATTAGCCGTGCTCTTTAGCTTTTCACCGCTATTACACATGGATCCAGCGACCTGTTAATTAACCATTGGTCAAATCCGTCAAAGAGGATTATTCCAGTTTTTTCACATGTTTGGGATATCACCTGGGTGAAGAAAGTGGAATTTTTAGTGTCCTCATTTCACCTCGGAACCTTTTTACCCAGGTGAACAAAGGGGAATAAAGGTACAAGTTGGTAGCGGACGATATGAGGCAGCAGCGGACGACATGTCGCAGCGACACCACTTGTTTCTATTTCTATGAAATAGCAGTCGTTGCAAGCGACACGTCGCCTGAAAGTATTTCATAGAAATACATAGAACGTGACCTGTCTCGGCGACGTTGTGGCGACGTGTTGTCCGCCGCTGCCGCGTAGTCGGCTACGAATTTGCACCTTTCCGTCAAAGATCGTGGTCTTATTATCCAGTGTTCGTTCGTTTCAGCCAAATTAATGACGTCCACTGCTGGACAAAGGCCTCCCCCAAGGTTTTCCACAATGAAAGGTCCTGCGCTGCCCGCATCCAGGCTTTTCCCGCGACCTTCTCCAGATCGTCAGTCCACCTAATAGGAGGCCAGCCCAGCCCACGCTACGTCTTCTAGCCCATGGTCGCCACTCAAGAACTTTTCTGCCTCAACGGCCATCGTCTCTACGAGCTATGTGCCCCGCCCACTGCCACTTGATTTTAGCGATTCTACGAGCTATGTCGGTCACTTTGGTTCTCCTGCGGATCTCCTCAGTATTATCACATTACCCAGTGTATTTTAACTTTATTGACTAAACTTTGTTACTTGCGCAGGCGCCGACATGTCGTTCCAAGGGGAGTACGCCGCTCAGATGCTTGGCTTAGCCGGCGGGGGTGAGGGCGGGGCGGCGGGGCGCGCGGACGAGCCGGCCGCCTCCCCTCGCCCCGCGTCGAGGCCCTATGCGCCTGACACCGCCACCGCTCCCGCCACCGCGCCCGCGCCCGCTCCCGCCGGCTCGCCCTTCAGGAAGGACGAGAAGGAGACCAACCACGTGCCCAAGTTTAATAATGTGAGTGAGGTATGGTGCTTTTGGTTTGATTTAGCCCACCGACTTTTAGTTGGCCGATAGTTGGGCCCGATCCTATTTCGTATGAAGAATCGGCCGATACCAAATCGGTGTAATGTGCGTACTTCCATACATGCCCATGATTAACTGCCCGACTAAACTATCGGCCAACTAAAAATCGGCAGTCTGCGGCTAGACTTATAGAAAGAATCCACAGCTGCCTAGCTGGGGGTTCTTGGGTTGGATGCCAGATGCGGCAGCAGTCAACTGCTTCAAATGATAAACTTAGTCGATTTCATAATTATCAGCCAGTTGTACTTACAATCAGTGTAGAGATATAAGCTTTCCCCAGGCACCAAAGAATTGATCTTCGATTTTTCAACCAACCATTGCAAGTTTTCTTCATGAGGAGTGATGAGGGTGTCGGTCTAACGAGCATCCTCAACGACGTAGCTTTTGCTTTTGCCGCAAGAGCGAAATCGTGTTCTAGATGTTTTTTTTTTCTTAATTTAATCCTATGCTACAATTCGGTCGAGTTAACTACACACTTGGTGGCCGTGACGTCACATCGACGCTCTAGGGCAAACACGGGGAAATGTGCGGGTGAGTGCGAAGGAGTATCGCATTCCAGCGAGGTGCGCAGCTAACTCGACCGGATTGTAGTTGCTATTTTATCATCATTTATCAACAAGAAAGAAACTAAATGTCCTCTCTTATTAACTGTATGCTGTACTTTTAGCAGCGGTTTCCCCCCGCGGGCGCGGAGGAAGAGGGCGTATTAGACCTGCGGGCGCGGGACCCGTCCGTCATCTCCGTGGGCTCGCAGCACTCCGGCGCGTCCGAGCCGGCGGGCTACCTGGACGCCGTCAGGTGAGCTGCCCTATTGTGTGCTCGTATACGGGACTATTCCCACCTCTCGTTCCCACCACTGCAACTCCTGTGTAGCCAGGATCTACAGCTTGACCGCCACAAAAACCCAACCAATGAAGGTCAAGTTTGTCCCGGGGGAAAGTTAAACTGTCATTGGACCCGCAACGATATTAATCAGAAGAACATAGGAGGAGTTCGAAATTAAGGTTCGACTTCCCTCCATTGCAAAGCGGATGACAGGTGACAAACAAAGGTTTAAAACCTTTAAGAAAAAGATTATGTGTGGTCGTATACCGTGTTACCCACTAGGTGGACCGACGATGTGGACCGACGATCTGGTGAAGGTCGCGGGAGGTGCCTGGATGCGAGCGGCGCAGAACCGGTCTTAGTGGAAAATCCTTGGGGGAGGCCTTTGTCCAGCAGTGGACGTCTTTCGGCTGAAGCGAACGAACGAATACCGTACCGGGAGTGATCCCCCTCTGATGCAACTCCTGTATAGTCAGGGTCACAAAATTACTTCTGACCAGGTGGGATACCTGGACGCTGTCAGGTGAGCTGCCCTATTGTGTGTTCCTTACCGTCTATGGAAGTAATCCCACCTCTACAGTATAGTCAGGATCACAACACTATCTCTGACCCAGTGGGACCTGGACGCTGTCAGGTGAGCTACCATATTGTGCGGTCTTATACCGTACCGGGGGTAATCCCACCTCTGCTGCAATTCCTGTATGGCCAGGATCACAAAATTACCTCTGACCAGGTGGGATACCTGGACGCCGTCAGGTGAGCTACCATATTGTGTGGTTCTTTACCATACCGGGAGTGATCCCACCTCTGATGCAACTCCTGTTTAATAATGTTCACAACATTACCTCTGACCCGGAGGGATACCTGGACGCCGTCAGGTACGCTACCATTTTATGTGATCTTTTACTGTTAACGGGAGTAATCCCGTCTGCAATCTCCACTATTGGAACTCCTCTGCCCTGTCAGATAAACTAAACTTAACTTTTTTCGGCTATTTTACCGTCTTCGGAGTGACGTCATCTGTTCTTCCTATTGCTGCAACTCATGCATAGCCTGGATCTATGGCCCACCACCAATGAGTCAGGTTTGTCCTACAACTGTTCACACTAAGTGCTATTCTATATTATCTTTTATAGTACTTACTGCCAAGGAGTGAGACTTCCTGTTTGTGTGTTCCCAAACTAACTAACACAGGCCTTGAAGGCAGCAATGAGCAAGTTAAGTTAAGCTCGCTTTACCATTAGATCGCATCCGCATTCTTTGGGTGATTCTGTTATTATTTCGGTGCGGATTCCAAGACAATCACTTATCCCCGATTATGCTCAGTTATTACCGGTCAGGACAGATATATAGCTCGATTGGACTTGCGACAAGTTTTATCCTCTGCTTGATGTAATATTTCTTGCTAATATTAATTTATGCTCCATTCATCTCCATTCCAGATCAACGGTCTCGGTATACAGTGGCAACTCCAATTCGAGCTCGGACCGGGACATCCTGGACTTGTCTATGCCCGACAAGAACTCTATGACGGAGGTGTGCTACGTGTGCGGTGATGAATACAAGCGCGGGACTCTGTATAACCTGAACACCAAGGAACCGAAGGATAAGGCGGTAAGTGGGATCTTGTAGCACCTTTTGGCTGGTTTTAGTGTCACGCGGACTGTCAGTGTGGATCGCTCCGCACGTCACAGCCGATTTGTATGAACTGCTAGGCTCGAACGCTCCTTAGAAGTTCATACAAATTGGCCGTGCGGACCGGGTCCTCACCGGACGGTCCGCGTGACACTAAAACCAGCCTTATACAGTCTGTAGTGCCTCTAGGCAGACTGCAGCACCTCTATGCCGCCTGTAGATGTTTAATTAACCAGTTCGCAGTTTATGTTGCTCGAAAGATCGTATGTTAAGTTCAGAAGTGGAAAACTTATTGACATGGAAAACAGTAGTAATTCATCTCTGGTCTTAGTAGGTTATTCATGCAGCCCATACTGGTAGCGCCATCTCATAGTGGCTCGTGGAACTACTTGCACATTTTAGTTGCTCTCATAGGCCAGCTTCACGCGTTGGCCTCAACGTTGGTCCCAATGCCACTTGGATAACGAGTGGACGTAAAAAATACATTGTCCCAACGTTGGCCCCAACGTGATAGAGCCGGCCATAGTCAAAGGCAAGTGGTGCTCTATCTGCAAAAGTACCTACCGTACATGAATAAAGGTTTTGTGGCGACATTACGTGACTCGCTTAGAGAAGTTTTTAAAGAAATCAATATATTGACTGTGGCTTCGCAATACATATTTGATAACATTATGTATGTCCGTAAACATATACATTTATTTACTAAGAAAAGTGACGTCCACTCATTTAACACGAGACATAAGAATAAACTTGCTGTTCCATCATTTAGGTTGCATAAGATAGGTAATTCATTCTTGGGGAAATGTATTACCATATTTAACAAAATACCACACAACCTTGTCGAATTGCCAATAAACAAATTTAAGATACATATAAAAAATACCCTTATGTCCAAAGGGTACTACAAGGTTCGAGACTATATTGATGACAAGGATGCGTGGTCAGTTCAGTCTGCACATATTTGATGTACTTAAATTTGACTATTCTTACCGTTAGATAATTCCTGGCAATAAGTGGTGACTGAGTTTGTTCCGGCGTTTCTTCTCAGCACTTGCCATATGTTTGTCTCGAAGCGCTGGTAGGGCCCAAAAGATAAGGAGACATGTAAAGTGCCCCATAAGGGCTACCTTTTCTTTTTTTATTATTTTCTATTGACGTTCATAAGTGCCACTTGTGGTCTAAACTGAATAAATATTTTTGATTTTGATTTTGATTATAATGACAAGCAAACTACAAAGATCAATAAAATCAGTAATGAACTTTTTTCGTAGACGTCATCGTTTTTCCTTGTCTGAGAACCTGGCAACACTCAACCTTGTGGTTATATTATTTTCCCTAGCAATAAAGTTTAAACAATTCGAACCTTACAAGTGACTTTTCTTCCTTTGTTAAGTGAAAAAGAAAATAGAATTATTTTTAACTTAACCCTTTTTGAGTACCTACCTGACGCCTTTTTAAAACTTGGGAAAAGGGTAGACGACGGTTGCTATGTTATGTAACCTCAGTCAAATAATCTAAACTGTTTTATTTTCGCTTATATTTACGACAGACTACAGAAAAGCCCCGATGAACGGTTTTGAACTTAATTGCTAAAGTAATAAGATCCAATCAGCAGTGCAACAATTTGTTGAATGAGTTGCATTGTAGTTTCGTCGACACATCATAGATGGCGTTACTGTATTAATTTTAATATCGTTCATTCTTTTCTCGCCGTGTATTTCTATTAGTTTTAAATCTTATAATGCTTGTCTTTTACGTTTAAAGTTGCCTTGTAATGATTTAGCAGGCGCGCACACCGTTGATTTTTAGTTGGCCGATAGTTGTGCCTGATTTTAAATTGTATGAAGAATCGGCCAAATCGAATCTGCGTAGTGTGCGCACTCCCATACATGCCCATACTGATCAATTGCCCGACTAAACTATCGGCCGACGAAAAATCAACGGTGTGCGCATATATTTTTTCCTACTGTGAACCAACCATTTTTTACGCGTAGAAAGATTCGAATACTTTTAAAAAGTATAATCTGCAAAGATGAGCTCATCCAATGACCTGTGTCTCAAACCCGGTCTTTGCCCCACAATCGTTTTAAAAATACACGATTGTAGTAACATTATGTTATCGCTTGACTCCTGACCCGGTCTTGCTACTGATTTGACCCGGCGATATTTTTGATGCATTTACATTGTAACGTCAACAATTAGTTTTATAGTATAGTAGCGATCTGCCGCACAATTTATAAACGCAGTAAGTAACACGTGAACAGTTTCGAGAAAAACGCGATCAAAGTTGAAATTTTATTTTGGGGTGTCTACAATTAGTTACGCAAATATTTGTAAAAAAAATTATATGGGCTTATAGAGCTAAACTCAAAGTTTATTTTGATATGAGGTTTTTGTATTTTAATTAATATTTTGTATTTAAAATTATTAAAAAACTGTTTATGTTATGGATTAACTAAGTTTTCGTTCGATACTTACTACCCATGAATGCAGTATGATTGTTCCTTACTGCGTTTATCAGTAGTTTTCGTTACTTACGGTACATGTGTTAAATGATTGATTTAAATTTTAGTTCTTACAACGTAATATATGCGCCGTATCTTTACAACTTACTGCATTTATGAGTGGGAGTGTGAATCAAAATAATTTATCAAAACTTTAAATGCGCAGTAATAATACAATTATACTGCGCTTATCATAAGCCAATAACGCTTTCATGTTGAACTTTCCCAAATGACCAAGGGGTAAATGAAACAAGTATTACAAAATAATTGCTGAGATCGCTTGTTATTCAATCAAAAATTAAGATATGGCACCCACTTTTAGATCTTAAATATACCAATCTAATAAAATAAAGACTCGGTCGTTCGTTTCAGCCGAAAGACGTCCACTGCTGGACAACGGCCTCCCCCAAGGATTTCCACAAAGACCGGTCCTGTGCCGCTCGCATACAGGCACCTGACGCGACCTTCACCAGATCATCGGTCCACCTAGTGTGAGGCTTGCCCAAGCTGCGTCTTCCAGCTCATGGTCGCCACTCAAGAACTTTCCTGCCCCAGCGGCCATCAGACAACTTATAGTGTCTCCAACCTTCAGAGGAGTGGGTACAGCACGGCATTTGACATGATTTTTGTCTTGTCCATTAAAGACCCATTTGTTGAGAGGCTCTATTGAGGCAATCGAGGATTGAGCTTAGATCCTCCACGTTCTCAGCCATGACTACGATATCGTCCTCGAATCAAAGATGGGTGATGTACTCGCTGATGATATTTATGCCCAATCCGCTCCAGTCCAGAAGCTTGAAAACATCTTCCAGAGTGGTAGTGAACAGTTTTAGAAATATGACATCTCCCTGTCTGACCCCTCGCTGCAACTGAAGTCCTGATCCCGGAGACGGACTGACATTGTGGCCTATTCGTACAAGCCCTTCAACGATTATATCTATAGTAAATTTGGCACCGTTGGAGAGACTGTAGCTTGAAGAGAGAAGTCTTTCTCATAGACCACAAATGCCAGACAAAGTTGCTGATTATTCTCCTCAGTTTTCTGCCATAGATAAGTATGTGGTCTATCGTACTAAAGCCTTATCGGAAACCGATTTGTTCGGGAGGCTAGATGTCGCGTGAAACCATTCATGATGACTCTCAAAAACAGAATCAGAAGTGAGATGGGTATAAAATAAATTCTTCAACAAGGTTTTGTTGCCTTTTTTGAAGAAGAGTATCACCACACTTCTGTGCCATGCCGTAGGCGTTTTTCCCTCAAGGATGACGGAATCGAATAGCTTCTAAAGAGCCTTTAGTACCGGCGTTCCGCCTGATTTCAGAAGCTCAGCCGTGATTCCATCATCGCCCGGTGCCTTGTTGTTTTTCAGCTGTTTGAGAGCCATTCTAATCTCGTACAGACACGTCCGGGATATCTTCGGTATAGTGTCGGGTCAATCTAGCTCTTGGGTCTTCGGCTAGATTTGTCATTTGGACAGGTTTTCAACTTCTTCCAATAACGTAAGAGTCAGCCACTGCGTTCATAACATGTTAACACCTAGGCAGCACTCTGACAATCCTTAGTATGTACGCAGTATAATTGTAATTACTGCATTAATATTAAGTACAAGTCATCTGTTTTTCCTATGGAAACATAATATCAGTGTGTGTTTAAGTGGAATTACTGCACATATACTATGTGCAAGGTGAACTTAACAATTGTAGAAACATAATAAGAATGATGTAATAGGCACATACTGCACTATTACTGTGTAGCAAATTAAGTAAGCGCGAGTATTCACGTAATATTAAGTTATTATGTGCTCTTACTGCTAACATAGTATGTGAAGAAACCTACAATCTGCTCTTTACTGCGTTTATGATAACATGTATCTTCCGTTCTAAGATAGATAGAAAAAAACGGGTCTTTGATTCTTATAGATCGCGATGTCAGGATTCAGAATATTCAAAACAATCATAAATGCAGTAAGTGGTACTTACTGCGTTTATAAATTGTGCGGCAGCGATATAATGGTGATAAATATAATAGACAGGTCTGTTAATTTTTCGTTGTTAACTATTCCACATTTGAGGTGAGACCGTGTTTTGCAGTGGGAAGTATTTTGTTTTGCTATTCTATACTTCCCTGATGAGGGTATTGTTATTCATGACTACTTTATAATAAATCGTTTGTAGCCCCTCCAAGGGACGTTAGAAATCTTGAAACAAAGGTCAACTAATATTAGCATTGATTTTCCTAGTTAGTAATGTTTGTGGTCAAAAAATACCTGCCTTGTTATGCATAAAAAAATGTGCATAAACCTAATTTTGATTGCAAAATTAAATATGTACTTGATTCTAAAGGCATTGAAACAGCTCAGTCACTGGTTTTATAGCTTTTGTATTTTTAAAACGTTTACATAATAGCCCAGCAGTCTGTCGCAGATCAAAAAATTTTATCGTTGTTTTGCGGCACCTTTCTCAAGTAACTTTACACCACATGACTCGATAACGATCGCGCTATATTTAACGTGCTGACACGATAAACTGCCATATCGGTGTATAATGACGTCACTGGCCAATCAACGCACACTGTCTGCGAACAAATAGGCAATAAATTGAATATCGGCGGTGTATCTTTGGGGTCAGGGGGCGGAGGCCGAGGGTTATCCGCCATGGAAAATATCGCGAGTACCGACGTAACCTTGCGGGCTCGACAGAGGTTATCGCGGCTGGCCAATCGGATGTAGAACGGTAAAAATTAGGCCAAGTTGCGCGCTAAATGAATGTGTCTGGTAATTCGGTTACAACGGTATCGGTATGAATCATGTTAGGTCTTTAAAAATTGGTATCGGTAATGTAAGGTTGAAAGGCTATCTGGCGTGGAAAATATACAGTTGAGTGTGACATTTTTATCTCTTAGGTTATCGCGAACAGCTACCATATTAGTCATATTTAGAAGGCCAATATCCATTTTCTATTATTAAATAAATATCATTCAAAATGTTGAAAGTAACTAGCTATCTACCATCACTTTTAGTATAGTTCTTGCAACTCATGAAGGCGAGTGAGCTTTACGATAGTGTAATGTCTATCAGAACTTGAAAAACGAACAGTAGCAAGCCACCACACATGTAAAGCTCACTCGCCTTCGTGAATTGCAACAACTATACTTACTCAATGGCACACCGAGAGTAGCGGCTGCATTGCAAAACAAACTCTCACATCGTAGGGAATAAGGGTGGTTTCAATGTTGACAGTTAAGTCCGATGTGCTATATTGTGTGCGCGTTTGTTAGTTTATAATTAGTTAGAAAACTTTAATCACGATTGAAAAAAACCTCTTCACTCAAGACTTGGCTCTCATCTACCGTGCGCTTCCCAGCAATAAGAACAGTCGTTACCCTCGTGACAAGAGACATCATTCTTAATCGTATCTTTTTATAACATAGATATTTACTGCCTTTGTTTAAACAGCGTCGTGTAAAAAGTGTCACAAGTCATGTGATTGATTACATCGGTGTTGAATAACATGATATGAGAATTGTTGCTTTTTATGGATATATTTAAACGATACTGCTGTATTTCTGGAATAATTTTTATTTATTGTCGTCAGACGATTTTATCTGATTGATATTAAAAAGAGGTAAAAATTTAGTGGCTTTTTAACAAGCTTTAAAAAACTATTTCATGATCAAGGGCGATGCACGGTAGCCGAACGGTGAATGGTGGACTCGTGATCTGAGGAACGCGGGTTCGAAACCCGCCGCCGCTCGATTATTGTGGTGAACCCACTCGTAACACAAGCATATTTATTTAGCTACCACGAGGGGTTAACGGGATTATTAGTCATTTGTATACAAATTTCAAAGAGCATCAAGACCTAAGCTAAGATAGTTTATCTTACCTCGCAAAGCTGATGCAGTTTTCCATAGTGTTTTTATCGTTTGCAATCTGCAATAAACTATGGAAAACTGTATTAAGCTAAACATAGCTTGGCTCTTGGTCTACAACCGGCATAACAGACTATATCACGAGCCTAATTCAAAATTCCATGAATGAATGCCAACGAAAATTGGGCTACAAAACCTTATTAAGTTAGATATAACAGTTCACTCAGTTCAAATGTCAACTAGTTTTATCAACGCATACCATATGCGTAGTATTTTTGACGAGTGAATCTTTCTACCGATATCGAATCGCTTCGTAATCAATATGCAGTGTTGCCTCATCTGGCGGGGTCATATTTTATGTTCGCATGTGCGCGCGGGCGCATTCAAAACATGTTTGTGTCCGTGCTTTCGGACTGGCTTTTGCCCGCGAATTTGTTCGTGCAAACTTATGTCAAAAAGGAGGACTTACTACAGATGTAATAAGTAATGGTAATGGATGGTCCTGTTCTTTATTTCTTCATTATTATTGCCATATTTGTGAAATTGACATGTCCAGGGGTAGTAGGGCGATGGCGACCTTATGTTGATCATTTTGGTAAGCGAGTTTGTTTTGTTATTAAAAATATTGCATTTTTTTACGATTAGCAATTTTTCTGTTCGTCCCTCCGTTGTCTTTGTGCAATAATAACGTCTAGATGAGTCAATAAGTATTTTAATTTTATAAAAAAGCACCGCAACCTGCTCGTTGTTCCTTTGATCCGGCTCGAAGGACCAATTGATTTAGAAAAGCCAAGAAAGTGTATAACAAAGATTGTTGATGGTTACAAAATTGAAACAAAATGCAAATAATTTTAAAAACATTTGCTTGGGATTTTCTGTTCCACAATCAATATGTACAAAACATTTCTGTTATATCTAGATGCACCTTCTTGATCCCTTGTTTACCATAATTATGTTGATATTCTAAACATTGTGTAAATATTTGTCAAGTGCTCTTATCAGTCTGATGTATAGAGTCGTGAGAATCCGGCGAAAACCGGCCGCGTATCTTAATGGGATCCTTTTGTTTCTATTGTAAGAAATTACTTGTTGTCGTAAAGTAATTTAATGAGAGAATTGATAACCTTTTAATCACTCTTTAGTTTTGATGGAGCGGTGAAAGGCTACGACTTTAATTGCATCGATAGGAATATTTGAGCTGATGACACAAGTCATAACATTAACTACTATTTTAAATGTATGTGTGTATTAGATTATAGTATTGTCCTGTTCGTCACGTGAGTATGTATTGACAGAAATCAGATAAAATTATGTAGTGTTGAGATTGTAGTATTTTATTTGTCCAAGTGAGGGTTTTACTTGTTTTTAAGTTCTATGATTTATTTAGTATCTGAATGTAGGTACTAGGTAGCTTGACAGTTTCCTCGTATATAAATAAAAAAAAACCTCTTATTCGTATCCTTTCTGTCGTATTTATCCATAAACAATTTGTCTTCCTTTTGCCATCTTCATGTCGTTAATTTTCCGAAAGTATGGAATGTTGAAAGACGAGCTCTAAAATAGAGTTTAACTTGCTTTATAAATAATTGTAAAAGCTTTAAAGGTCAATATTACATTTCAATGTTAATGCAATTAATTGCAAATTGCGCATCGCTCTAAATAGTGCAGCCGAGCGAGATTGATCCGTGGTGCTATCGCAGAGGTCTGCACAGGGGTAGTGCAGAGGTGAGAGATAAAATTATGTGTTGAGACGGAAGTCTATTTGATTTATGATCGATTATTTCATTGGCAAATCAGACAAATAGCTGATAGAATCGATTGGCGCTGATCTATCGAGACTGCGATAGAATTTGGACTTAAACCATTAAAACGGAATCGATATAATGCCACGATGTCGTGTCATACAGGCTAGGCAAGCCCGGGTCTTAGCTAAAACTCCTGGCTTCATCATCATCATTTCAGCCATAGGACGTCTACTGCTGAACATAGGCCTCCCCTAATGCTTTCCACGTTGATCGATTGTTAGCGGCCTGCGTCCAGCGGACGTCCCACGCTGCGTTTTCCGGTACACGGCCTCCATTCCAGAACCTTGCTGCCCCATCGGCCGTCAGTTCTGCGTACTATGTGCCCTGCCCATTGCCACTTCAGCTTGCTAATCCGTCGGGCTATGTCAGCGACTTTAGTTCGTTTGCGGATTTCCTCCAAAGGAAAAACTCCTGGCTTACTCGACGAAATTGCCTTTCAGCCGTGTGGTTTTGGCAGAGTAGAATAGGAATGCCATCACTCTTTCCGTGGTTGTTGCAAAAGTCGACTGGCCCCACCCGTTTAGGCAGCTTGGAGAGTGTAGACCAAATCCTCTATTTGCCTTCGGTGAATTGCAATGGGTATGAATACTAAAGGTCATAGCAGACTTGCCAACTCGGAAAGGGAAACATTGTACTGCCTTTCGCGAGCTGTCATCGCCTTTCGCGCTCTATAACTGCGAATCGCGGTGTTTACGTTACGGTGCGGATAAGTGTGCGTTGTAGTATGGAGTCTCAAGTTGATACGGTTACGATTTCTTTCCGGGTTGATAAGTTTGCTTAGTCTCTCTACTCGACCTGTGGTTGACTGCCAGATAATGCCACCTGGCATTAAGTCCGCCACTGTACAGTTGTATGTGCAAAAGTGTAAATAAATAAATAAGTGTTCTACGTCCTTTAGTGACCAGCTGGGCTAGGATGCGCGCCGTGATATACTTTATCGACGTCAAAATGTATGGGCAAAATCGATAAAATGGCGTGATAACCGCTCATCGCGGCGCGCATCCTAGGCCTACTGATGATGATACCTTAAACAGGGTTCGAAAGGATAATTATCAAGATAATTCTCATGATAATTATCGTGATGATAACAGATGGATAATTATCGGTTGATAATAACCAAAAAATGCGCTCTTGAAAATGAACTGTATTCAAAGTTTTTGAACGTGTATTTCCGCACTTTCGTCTAGTGGTGGGCGTTAATCAACATACTTAGATAGTTATGAACCTATCTATTTAGCTCCAAAATGATCACTAGTTATCTAGCGTCAAAATATTTATCTATTTTCCAAGCATTATGCGACTAGCAATGGACAACTTGACTACAATCAGCCACAAAAACATGAAGTAACATTTCTTATGAAACAATATGACTAATGTATCTTATACTGTTGATAATCATGAAGCGTAATTATCTTGATAATTTCGAACCATGACCTTGAAACATGTAAAGTGACGTGTTATATTGTTTAACCATTTTCTCAACCAACACCTCAAGAGAAATGGTGGTGGCTGAAAACCAGCACTGTCTAGGGCAGGTAGTCCTTGGCGGCACATGCTGAGCCACCTCCATTTGCTTTTTCTTTTAGCATATAAGTTATTTTAAGCTTATAATGTAATTTTGTTTCTTGTAATTCCTTTTATGTGTAAAAAGCAATAAACGTTTTATTTATTTTTATTTTATTTAATTCCAGAACAAACAGGCGTACTTCCCGATCTTCGGCGAGCAGCACCCGCGGCCGCCGCGCTCGCGGCCCAAGGACGCGCAGGGCACCGTGCGCGCCTGCGCCGCCTGCCACCACCACCTGCTACAGCAGTGGAACACCTACCAGGTACGTCTGATATAGACCACTAGCGGCCGCCCGCGACTTCGTACGCGTGGATCCCGTTTTACCCCCTTCATCTATCTTACGCGGTTTACATTTTTTCATACAAATGATTTTTCCCGCTAACTCCCGTTCCCGTGGGAATTTTGCAATATCCCGTTGTAACTAAGCTTTAAGTTTACTAAGGTACCTGCATGCCAAATTTCAAGCGTCTAACTTAAGCGGTTTAGATTTTTCATACAAAAGGATTTTCCCGCTAATTCCAGTTCCCGTAGGAATTTCGGGAATTCCTTTCTTAGTGCACCTCTACGGCACCTAAGCTACGTCCCTTCCAAATTTCAAGTGCCTACGTTTAGCCGTTTAGGCTGTGCGTTGATATGTCAGTGAGTTGGTCAGTTTCTCCTTTTATACAGGGTGTTAGGTAAATGGGTATATAAGCCGACACTAGCCCATGTTAACATGGGCATATAAATGGTATGGTGAAGTCAGAAATTTGATATCATCATTTTATTATTTTTAATTTTCATACAAAATAAATTTTATAAAATCAGATTTGTATGAAAATAAAAAAAAAATGAAGATAATCAATTTTCTGACTTCACCATAACGTTTATATGCCCATGTTAACATGGGCTAGTGTCGGCTCATATACCCATTTACCTAACACCCTGTATATTTAGATAGCAGAGGACCTTGCATCTGTCTCAGCGTCTCATGTCTCAGCGTGAGTTTCCTAGGCTAATAATTCAGGGCATACGCCAAAACTTACGCGGGCGCACGGAGCGAATGTCCGCTCCGGACATGGGACTGCCTTCCGCGACGTCCCGCCTCCCGTTAAGCAGGGTACTCATCTAGCCGTGTAGCACGTAATGTATCAGATACTGTATCAAGTGAGTACATAGGCACGAGCCCGCTGCGAGCTGCTCGCGCGTGGTTCGCAGGGAGATCGCAGTAGAGATGTGCCGAGTCAGACTGACTCGAGTACTGACTCAAATACCTAGCAGGTACTCACGTACTCGAGTATGTAAAATTCTGTATTCGGATCTAAAATACTCGAATACAGATTTCGAGTACTAACGGTATTCAAATACTAAGTCGTACTTTAATAGCAACCTTGTACGGCGTACAGTCGAATTTTGTATGACAATAATCTGTTATTATTTACGTTAAATACTCCTCTATCGTTCGTACATGATTTGTGATGAAATATTAGAAATTGTCATCAAAAGAAAACTACAAAGTTCGATTTAAAAAGTACTCGAGTCCACTGAAGTATTCGATTACTCGTGCCAGTACCCGAATACTTGACCAAGTCTTCCGACTCGAGTCCTAACTCGATTCTTTTATAAACGAATACCAGAAATAGCCGACTCGGCACATCACTAGATCGCAGCGACCCGCCGAGTGGCGGGTTCACTGCGGCGAGCACAAAGGGCTCGCAGTAGGATACAGCCTGTATCCTACCTGTATCATACAGGTCATACAGGAGCTCGCAGCCAGATACGCGATGACCGTGGACGAGCCGTACTCACTTAAAGGTTGGTTCCGTTACATGCTACGTTACGTGCTACATGGCAGGTGAGTACTCTGCCCTACGCGTGTGGAAACCCGTTACACGCGTCCGCGCAACTCTGCGCTGCTCATACTATTTTTCTATACAGACACGTGCGTGCACCCGTTTTAGAGTAGGCCCTAACCCGCCTGCTAAAAAGAGATAGCTAGCTACACGTTAGTTGTAAATGTAGATGTTACACCAGCAGGCTACTTGTAGATTCATCATCATCATCATTTCAGCCATAGGACGTCCAGTGCTGAACATAGGCCTCCCCTAATGCTTTCCACACGTTGATCGATTGGTAGCGGCCTGCGCTTCCCTGCTACCTTTACGATGTCGTTGGTCCACCTTGTAGGTGGACGTCCTGCGTTTTCCGGTACTTGTAGATTCACGCAGATGCAATCACCTGCTGCTTAAGTGATTGCAGGCGATACTTGCGCGCTCTGCGATCGCCCACTGTGCATTGCGCGGGCGTAAGTACGGAAAGCCCACGTCATTTTTACATCTGTTATAGGGCTGATGATTTCTGCTATGACGTAATTCCTCTGACAAGTCAATAGGCAACTGCTCGGTTCTGGTCTGGTGTGCATCCATTTGGAACTGAACTGAACATCTTAATATCTTAATCCTAACTGAATATTTAATGATTGAAATAACTCCTGCTTGGTCTCCTGCCAAGAGTTTTATTCCTATTATAAAAAACTTGATTTTCTACATATCCTCATTCCTCACGTCTAAAACAAAAAAGTAGGTAGATAGATAAAAAAATACACTTTGACCTACAATAGTCACAATTTCGGGACCTTGACAAAAACGCATTCGCTGGTGCGTAGTTATTTTTACAAAATGTACGATTCCTTTTCAAGGTTTTTTTGTCTTATGCTAATTACCTATCTTCAAATGTATTTGTGACTTGACTTTTGGCTCGCGACCTCTCCTTGACTCAGAAAACGTCTGAAGCGTGGGTGAAAAGGATGTCGTTGCGTCGAAACCAAGTGCCAAGGGTCTCTGACGAATAGGAAACTATTGGTTTACACAGAAATGTTTGTCTTATTTTATGTCTTCACCTTTTTGAAGATAAGGTTACTTCTTTGACTGACAATAAGAATGATTGACGTGTTTATTGATAGGTTATCTTTAATTAATATCATATTACTGGATATTTTTCTCATTTGCAAAAAATTCATGGTACTTTGTTGCTAACGTATCAACTAACCATTAAACCATAGAAGATACATTTTCTCAATATTCATTTTGCACCTCTTTAAAAATAATAGCAGGCATAATAGGCTAGTTGCCTAAAAAATTTTTTTTAGTCCGTAATGTTTAATATAAAAAAATATTGGACACGTATATTTTTATTTGTCAATCTAACAAATAATTACATAGTTATGGTGCGTTGAAGTTGCGCACGACGTCACAACGTGCGGCATTTTTAAGCAAGCGTTGACGTCACGGGCCTCTTCTTATGAACTTTGGGGCGCTTTATCTCTTTAAATTTTCATTAGTTTGAAAAAGTGAAAAATACGTGTAGAGTATTTTTTGATAAGTTAACTGACGGACTAATTAAAACTCTTGCTTTTTGACCCAGGCAACATCCCCATTATCGTCGTAAGATAAGCATATTACGTTTTTTACGAGATAGTATCCATTATAGGCTGTAAGAAATATAAAAATACCTGTTTGTATTAATATTATAAAGAGCTGTGGTTTTCTGAATAAATAAAAATAAAATAAATAAAGAAACAGAAAAGGCCTAAAACATTACTATGCCAACCCTGTTATGTAAAGTAACACGTCATAACACCAATTACAGCGTTACTGTTGCTGATAACGTGGAAGCGTTGCGTTATCTGCGCGCGCAATCGTTACATTTCTTTCGTACGTGACCTCTAGTTGCGTCGGTGTATCACGCATGCGCTTAGTGGATGAGTAGAGTTCGTATTGTGAGACAAATACTGTCTCATACGGGAATATTTGTATTTAGTCCATATTATAAGATAATAGCTATCACATTAGGGTGTGCTAGTGTTATTTTTTTTTCTTATTTGAGGTTAACCTCATTCTAAGTTCAGACAGAAGTCATACATAGGTAGTGGTTACATTAGCTTAATCAAAATCCAGCACTTCAAATGTAACACTGACGGCTGAGGGGTGTTGCTACTGTTGATATTATTCAGGTGTCGTGTAACCAATCAAACGCTCGCTTGCCCCTTACCGCTCAAAACATAACTGTGCAGGATTTGATAAGCAGGTCCATAATGTTTTGAGTGTCTTATCTTACCAATAGGTTGCAAAAGAAGTCTCTAAAACCAAAAAAAGATCAGATTGTAATCCAATAAGAATGTATTTAACAATTCATTGATTAATGCAAACCGTCATAGCATTATTTAATGAAATACTTTTTTGTTTCCATTTTTATGACTCTTATTCAAAATCGAACCTAGAACTAAATCTATAAACGCGAGGGTCGATACGGGCCTTCGTGGGCAGACTAAATACGGTATTGTTAGCGCATGCGTAGCGGGCGTATCTTGGGTCGCGGGGTCGCGGGCGCGGCCGGACTTGCGATAGTGAACTGTGTACATAGAGGCTTATTGCAATCTGCATAGTTTGGGAGATGCATTTCAAGTTCAGCATATTATTATTTTGACTGACGTGAAATTAAGCCTATTAAGATAAAATTAGCTTTGCTAGAGACACTTAGTTACATAAATAGTATTTATTACAGATTCTTTAAATTTCCTTAGAAATAATAAGATTTTTGCATGTGATGTGGAAAACGGGTTTCCTTTCTCACATGCCGATCTTATATGACCAATTAATCTAGGTTTTTTTTTTATAAAAAAAAATGTGCCGACAATGATGCCATTTTGTCTACTCAAGAAAAATATGCAAATGTTTAGATAAATTTTAAATACACTTAAAACTGGTATTTCATCTAATGTTTAATGCATTTTTAAAATAATGCGTATGCTACTAACAGATTATGTGAAATTTATTTTAAATTAAAACGGTAGCGAAATTTAGCCTTGATGACACACGAATGGAACTCACAAAAACCATATTAGCATAATATTCACGTTCGACATGATCCCGACTATCACATCTTGAATAATTCATCAGTACAGCCACACAATTAGCATAACCATTTACACCCACGTAATGCACTCATAATAATTCCGCCGCCACACCATGACCTAAGTAGAGGAGCTCAATCACATACTGAATGACGTGGCGCCCCGTCTGATCGCTTCCGGAGACCGCAACATCGTCTATGTAAACACTCGTGTCGATACACGGCTGTTTGACAATGTAATGTATTTCTCAAGCGGAGAAAAGTCTGCCCGCTGACCCAGTATCGCTATCGGTGCGCGGTGTCACAAGCAGTAGTGCGAACGGAACACGCGCAGACGCACGTCCTTACGCCGCGCCGGTCATCAACTATTGA